CCTCTCTCTCTCTCTCTCTCTCTCTCTCTCTCTCTCTCTCTCTCTCAACCATTGGAGCACACCCTATTAAATCCAATTAATTCTTCTATTGTCCTACATAATGATTCTTAACCGTACTTCCATTCAATTCTAATTTTCTTTTAATCAATTAGTTTGTGTGTGATGATGTTGCTATTATTGTTTTTGGTAGTTTATATGTTGCTGTTGTTTGGGCTATGCTTTTTATTGTTGTTATTTTCCACCCTCTTGCTCACCATGTGTTTGACAAAATGTTGAAACGAAATTGGTGAAGTTGAATTGACAATTTGTTTGCCTTTTTATAATTGAAATTGAAATTGAATGTTGTGGAAAGTGTAATTTCAAAGTCATTGAACCTTCCTTGCATTCTTCTGGGCTGACCCACTAGTTGACTTGGAAATTAAGACCATAAACAAGAGTATGTTTGATGAGTTAATAAAGCCTCATTTTAATTCATTAGTACCCTCTCACACAATCACACACACATATAGATATGCGAATTTAATTCTTGTTGAACTGTATTGTTTATGTGAATCACATACTAATGTTTATATTTCAATTCAATCTCTTTTTGTCAGTAAAGTCCATTGCTGTTTAAAAATTTGCTCTTTTTGTCAGTAAAGTCCATTGCTCTTTTTGTCAGTAAGTTAATCCAACCATTTGCAAGAATAATGGAAGCAACACAACTTCGCATACTTTTAACAGGTTATAGTGGCATACATATGTAGCCAAGTGAGCCATTAGCCTTTAAAGAGCAATGTCAATAGTATTTTTATCCTTTTGATAAGCATTCTAGCAAATGGTATATGAATTCTGTGTTAAGCATGTATAATCCAAAATATGTGTGGCAAGGTGACAAGTTATGCTTCTATACTGACAAACCAACAAAAGTAGGTAAAGCATTTGTGAGCAGCTAAAGCATACGTGATCAACAAATTATGCTCAACAACGTGTTTATGCTAGTAAATACTTCAACTTAACAAGTCCCATAAAAAAATTAGGAATAACAAAACAAACTGGCAATGCAAAATTAACCTCTATTTATGCCAAAATATCCCCAATTCTCTGTACAAAACCCTAATTTTGGAGTCAGCTAACAAAGAACAATAAGATTAACACTAAGAGCAAAAGTGAAAAGATAATCTCAAAGAATCATATACAGTTGTCGGATTAATAGATGCAACACGTAATGGTTGCTTGTTTGACAAACGCCAAAATTTTACCTACAACAATCAAGAGTAGCCAATGGAGATTACCATTGCTCAGTTCGCCTTTCCCGCTATCGAACTTGTCAATCCTTGTTACTTCTCTTGCTAATCCAACAGTTATCTTATTAGATGCTAATCCAACTGCCAATAGAAAAGCATGTGAATTTACCAAACAGTCCAAAGTGCCTAAAGTAAAGTCCACATGGAAAGCTCACAAAAGCAAGAGTAAAATTGGCAACTGGAAAAGGGAGCCAATGCACTATAGCAATGACAACTCCCTCTTATTATATACAAGAATTAATTAATTAATTAATTACATAAATAAATACCCAAAGCAAAATTCTAGTTGTTCAACTATAATTTGTGAAAGATGCATGATCCTAACGTCCACGTGTATTGGGTGTACAATTATAACATGTTTAAGAACTCTTAGAGAGGAAAAAAAAAAGAGTACTAAAAGTCAATATTATAATTTTTTTAAAAACATGATAGACTTCAAATATGAATAGCAAGAAAACATAAAATAGAGTATAGAAAAATATTGACACATGCCCAATTAAGAAGACAATATAATGAGAAAGACAGCCAAACAAAATTTGTTTACCACATCATAATGAAAATTCCCCAAAACCAAACAAAATTGAATGCAAAATACAAGCTTAATTCACCACTACCAATATATTGTTACCCCACCAAAATGGATCTTTAAAAATTGGTTCAGGATTGTCATGTTATATAACCAAATTACAAAAGCAAGCACCCATTTCATTTAAATTTAAATCTAGCAAAAGATGGAAAATAATACCAGAAAAGAACAATCAATATAATAAGAAAAAAAAATGAAAACAAATTGACATACAATATGATCAATTAACACTTTTCTCCATGAGCTTGGCATATGCTACATCCATCATAGTTCCACTTGGGAAGCTCTTCGGGATCTTTAAAAGGTACAAAAAGAGTAAAAAGTCTGCGTAAGACCAACAACAACATATATTACAAATCAATGTGGCTAATCAAGAAGATAAACAATAACCACAAGAATAAAATGGAAACTAAATATTTAAATAAGGAAAAACTGTTACCCTTGCTCTACTTCTGAGATCGATGCTAGAATCATCAATCCTTTTCAACAATTCAAAAAAAACCTTGGGTGAATAAGACATAAAACAATTCAAAATTAACAATGTAATTTGGAAAATTCTATAAAAACTAAAGACAACCACCACTAACACTTAAAAGAGGGTAAGAAAATCACCAAAGATAGTATATTGACAAGACTATCATTAATAAAGTTCCAAATTCAAAGAATGAGGGGAAAAAATTCCCAAATGAAATCATTGAAAATTTGTATCAAATGATGGCAAATATTCTGAAAACTATAGCACATGAAGATTAGGAATGTAGCTGTTATTGATTGCTGCTTGATACATACCCAATTAGAAGTTGTTACTCAAACCCAAAAATGATGGCGTGTAGGCTTGGTAGAGAGTGAGAACTGATGAGAGAGGAAAATACAACTAAGAAAGAGAAAACTCACATCACTCATATGAAAACAACAAAAGCCCTACATGGAAAAAGCCTAAACCCACAACAAAAGCAGGAACATCAACACCCAACAAGGTCAAGATTGATTTAGAACCATTATCAGATATGATGTAGCTAGCATGGTTCTGTAGAGTAAGTGCTCAAGTCACCCTCCAAAGTTTTATAAACTATAAGAACCTTCCATATTTCAAAGAATTATAGAGAAGTTTCATTGAAACATAGTTGTTAATTTACTCCAAAGTAAAATCTTTGAAAGCCTCAAACCATTTTTCACTCCCATACATCTACCAATACAAAATTCAATTACCCAACACGGGGTGAAGAGGAGATCAAAAAATGAGTAATATGGGTCAAAAGAACACTACATACACGTACACCATACAAACAAATAAACTCCCTCTCATTAACTAACTCATAGCTCAAAATTCTAAATCACATCAAATAGATAATAATGGGAATGAAGCCCATGTTCCAAGTTCCTATTCCAAGTTAATCGTCTTGCACTTTCCATTCTAGATCATAATTGTATTTGAAAAATGTTTGAGACCCCCTTTTTGGAGACCCCCACAACGCCCTTTGGATCTCCACCATTGATGTATGTGTGGAACCCATTCATGTATGTGTAGGGCCCACACAGATCCAAAGGGGGTTGTTGATTGTATTTTTAACAAGGTTATTGGGTTTTGAAAAGAAAACTTTGGATTTAAAAATCATATCAGAATTAATGAATGAAAGCAATCTCTTTGTATAAAATATAATAGTATGAGAGAGTAATCTCAACAAATTTCAAAGTTGTATGCAGTATGATAAGTTTACATGTAAATGGAACCAAAACAACCACCAAATCAAACAAAGAATGGGAAATTGCAAAGTGGAATTCGCAGGAAAGTCTTGAATATATAAGCCACATGTTAGAATTGGTCAAGAAAACGAAGTTACAAGAATCAAGAACAGAGAAAATAATAATGTTTACCCTAAAATGGAATCACAAGTTGTCTGATTGTAGATGGAGATAAGCCTCTGCGATTATCAAGATCCGAGGGCTTCAATGGAAGCGGTGACGATGAGTGGTCTGAGATCCGACGTCTAATCAGACGGTGGAGACAAAAGACGGAGCCGCCTTATGCCGCCGCTCGGAAATGGAGGATGAGACGGAGACTGGTTAGCAGGGGAAGAAAGAAAAGAGTTATGATCCTGTGTAGGTTCGTAACTGTGTTGATGATGGAGACTTGTGATGGAGTAGATAGTTATAATGCTAGGGACACCAAATTTTCTACCAAATAAATGACCAAATGTCTCACATGGGTGTGGGGCCCATGTGTTTGGTAGAAAATTTGGGACCTTTAGCATTTTCCAATTTATAATGAGAGGATTAATAGTGAAAGGATTGTTAGTGAGTGGATTGTTAGTGATTGTTAGTGAGTGAATTGTTAATAAGTGGGTTAATAGTGAGGAATTGTTAAATTATTTTTATATAAAATAATAAAATAAATAAAAAATATAAAAAATTAAATATTATATTTTAAAAAAAAATTTCAATATATAAAAAATAAAAAAAATAAAAAAATTTCTAATCTCCTCACTATTTTTCTACAAAAATGCTTTAGACCACTAATTAGTGGTGGCTCTAATGATATGGCAGTGGGTCTCACTCACTGCCACATGTGTTTTGTGCCTTGTTTTTTTTTTTTTCCTTTTTTTTTCAATTGCCACCTCACTAGTGGTGGTATTAGTGATGGTAAATTAGTGGTCACAGTTTATAAATTTGGCCAAAAAATGAAAACACAAAAAATGTGTTTCCATTTTGAGTTTTCAGTTTTTTTTTTTTTTTTACCCCCCAACACTAGCCACCACTCGCCACAATTTTCCACCACCATCTTCCGCCACCACCACCCACTACCCACCTCCCACCGTCACCACTTTCCACTACCGTCTTCCGCCGCCAATTGTCACCACTTGCCATTTCTCACTCTTTTTATATTTTAAAATTTTTTTAAACATTTTGTCAATTACCAAACGTGTTCATAGTTTATATTTTTCTAAAAATAAACAAAAATCAGTTTATAAAATTTTTGTAAATATAAATTAAAAACGTAAACGTTACCAAACAGACCTAGATAATGAAACTATACTAATAGCATTGTAGGTAAGGGTGAGTATGGTTCATATTGGTATGGTTAAGTTGTAAATCAAGACTAATTTATTAACTAAGGTTCCATCAAATTTGGAGCCAATCTACGTTTTCAAACAGACCCTAGATAATGAAACTATGCTATAAGGTTCCATCAAATTTGGAGCCAATCTACGTTTTCAAACAGACCCTAGATAATGAAACTATGCTATAAGGTTCCATCAAATTTGGAGCCAATCTACGTTTTCAAACAGACCCTAGATAATGAAACTATGCTATAAGGTTCCATCAAATTTGGAGCCAATCTACGTTTTCAAACAGACCCTAGATAATGAAACTATACTGATAGCATTGCAGGTAAGGGTGAGTATGGTTGATATTGGTGTGGTTAAGTTGTAAATCAAGACTAATTTATTAACTAAGGTTCCATTAAATTTGAAATCAATATGAACTAAATGACTAAACCATGGTTCGGTTCGATTTGAAATTACGAATTTTAAAAATATTATTATTATTATTCACAATATATTACAAAATATTATTTACAAGTTAAGAATTGTTTACATGATTGTTTAAAACTAATTCTATTACTCTATAAAAATATACTTATCAAACGCGTTTGCAGTTTATGTTTTTCTAAAAATAAACAAAAACCAATTTATAAAAATTTTGTAAATATAAACTAAAAATGTAAACGTTACCAAACACACCCTAAGGGATTACTAATCCTCTCCATATCTCTCAAAACAAACACCTCATTCTCAATCCTCTCCTCACTACCAAACCCAATCCCCTCCCTATAACCCCAAACAAACGGGGCCATAAAGGCTTCGTTTGGGTAGTGGTTAGTTTTTTGATTTTTTGATATTTTTAGTTATTTTAGTTTTGAGTTAAAAAATCTGGTTTGAGAAAGACTTTTGATTTTTAATTTTTTTAATTTTTTTGTGAGAGAAAGAATATAATAATTATGAGTTAGATGTGATATTTTGTCTTATTAGGTTAAAAAGTCTATTTTTTTTAGGGGGGCCTATTTTAGCCAAAAAAAAAAAAACCTAAAAAACCACTCGCAAAACATAGGCAAAATAATTGTAGTTATATTTGTGATAAAATTTACAATTAGGAGGTGTTTAGAAAGAAAGTTTGTTTAAAATAGTTTACTAAAAGATAAAATAAATTAAAATAGTGAATAAAATAAAATATCATATTTAATTTATATTTATATTTATTTTACTTTTTTTTTTTACAACCATCAAATTAATTATTAAAAAAAAATCAATTTCTCAAATACAACTATTTTAGTCAAGTTAAAATAGCTAAAAAGTCAAATAGCCAACACTTCCCAAACAAGGGCTTAGTAGTATTAGGGTAATTTGCAAACGATTTGGCTTGTCATCAATTGAAAGTTGAACTGGATCAGATAATTGAGATCTCTAACCGATAAGAGTTATTAAACGAAAGGCTCTTACTAATAAGAATTTATGAAAATAAGACCTAGTTAAATTTTTTTCAAAGACTTTTACTGATAAGAGTCTTCCGTTTAATGACTCTTATAGATCAGAGCCTTTCGTTTAATATTTCCTACCGATCATAGATCTCAACTATTTAGTCCAGTTGAAATTTCAACTAGAGACAAGCCACTCCCAATTGCGAATACACTTTCATATTTACTTAAAATACCGACTGTCTTTGTGATTTAGAAAATTATAAATATTTTTTCATTAAAAAAATTTATTTAACAGAATTAATTATAAAAATAAAATTTCTAATTACTCTTTTATACAATAATAAAATTACTTGTATTATTAATTAAAATATATTTTGACATTATTAAAAAAATTAATTAACTTTATAATTTATTAATAAAAAGACTCTTTTGTTATGTAATTAAAAATTTGACGGATATAATCTAATTTTTAAAATTATAGAGAACAATTTCTATTTTAAATAAATTTCATAAAGTATATTTTTAATTTATTTTATATTAATATCCAAGGAAAAGAACAAGAGTGTCATTTGTGTATCAGCATATGGCAAATAATTGTAGTTTTTCATTTTTTTTTCTAAAGATTTTTTTGCCTTTGTACTTAATTTTGTGTGGAAACTTTGTATAAGTCTATATCTAGGTTTGTAGACTTTGTAGAAAGTTGTAAAGTTTTTGGCCGTATTGGTGTCAACAAATTAGATATGTAATAATGTTAGGATAGACTTTTTGGATTACGATGACTTTTGATTTTTGTTTTTATAGACAAGATGTATTCTATAAATTGACATTCAAACCAATGAATAAATCAATATAAATTCTCTCCATCTTCATTGCCGAAACTTCTCCTTTCCTTGTTCAGTTTTTGTTGCTTAAATCAATAAACATAGTAGAATAGAAGTAGTAGAAAGCTTATTTCCTTTATTTGTAATTGGTATCAAAACTTGGTGAAGAGCTTTTGAAAGTAAGATCAAACTATGTAAGTATTTATGTCTATGTATAAATTTTGATAATAGTGTATGGTGTGCTTAATGATATAAATAAATAAATAAATAAAATAAAAATTTCAAAATCAAAAAAATATTATTAGTCCAGTTTAGTTTTTAATTGTGTATCATTTGTATTTTATATTTTCATAATTATTTGTTTCTTTTATAGTTATTGTAAAACCTATATGCTTAGTGTATGTTAAAGCCCATATACTCATTAAGATCTTTTGACTAGTGGCCATAATTAGGCTTTTTAAGTCTTTAAGATCATAAAGAAATGTTTTAAGCACCAGATAAATACACTAGAAGGGTCTTAGGTACCAACAACAATCTATAATGGCAATTAACCCTGAAGATATAATATGCTTTAGAAATATAAAAAACAGTTTTAATAATAAATATGACCATAGCTTGCATATTACTAAAGAGTCTGCAAATATAAATAGTTCGTATTCTAGTTTAAATAATATTACTGATATTATGTGTTCTTGGTATTCTAAATTAGATAAAAATCAAAAAATAAATCAAAACTATCTAGAAACCAAAGTTGAGTCTATAGAATATAAAATAGACAATTTAGGTTCTATAATAAATATTAACTTAAACAAAAAAGCAAAAACCCAAATAAACAATTTGGTGACAAAATTAGAAATGATATCCTTCATAAACAATGATGGAATGAATACTCCAGGAGATAACTCCATTCCTAGGCTATTTTATGGTATAGAAGATATTATGGTACTTCAAACCAATACCTATAATAGGACTGAATATGAAAATATTGTTGAAATATTGGATTATTAAAGAAAATTATATAAAGATCTAGATTTAGGTATTGATGAAAGAAATAGGCTACTAGATCAGATAAGAGAAACTTATCTAGAATATGAAACCATTTTACAACACTTTAATTATGATATTAATATGTCAATTAATGATGATGATAGCCAATCATCCTCATCTAAAGAAACTGTTGGAAAAATTATACCAAACTATATGGATAATATAATTTAAAAATATGTAAACAGTTTTTGGAAAAAATCAAAACTGAAATAAATTGACAAAACAACGTAACAAAACTTACTTACAGTACATAAAAAGATAAAACCTGATCGAGTCGAGTGTGTGATACTCTTTCTTTAAGACAGATTCGTCCTCCCACCGGTGTTTAGGATTCAATGGACGTCTATCTCCCAAGATACAACGATCAATATCTTGCATTAGCAGCACTACTATTGCAAGCCTAACAAACTTCGCTGCGCATGTACTCTCTTTGTGGGAAACTTAGACTCAAGAAATATGAAGAATAAATGTAAAGTAAAAAAGAAATGACCATTCTACTTTTAAAATGAAGTGAGGGAGATGGAATATATAGACTTCTATGTGACTCTTTAGAAAGGTTGTGACCCTTTTATAAGCCACACCCTTCCATCTCATGAGACACAACCATTGGAGTAAATTTAAATTCAAACTTTCCAACAATCCCCCACATGAATGAAATTTATGGAAAACAATATGCAGACAAAGAGAGAGTACATTAAGGAAATACTCTGCATCGAGATAGGTAGTTTTTGACTTTGAACCTTCCCTAGTGAAAACCTATCGGACTTACTAGCTAATCAGTGGACGTGATGCCTTGA